CGAGTACGGACGCCGTGTGGGCATGGTGCCCAGGTCATCGTTGAAGGAAGGGAAGAACAGACAGATGGTGGAGAAAGGAACGAAGGCCCCAAAACCAACCCAAACCAAACACCCAAGCCCGCAGGCCGAAACTCCACCATCTTGTAGTCTTCCCTCTACACTAGGTGAAACGTGTGAAACTGAGACTAGTGGCGATTAATGGGCTTGAATTCGCAAACGAAAAGGACTGCAGCGCAAGCTGTGTTCATGGAAAGCCGCCTAGGAGGCTTCAAACGGACTTTCCTTACCAAGTGTTGGTGACCAGCTTTTTTCCACGAGTACGGACGCCGTGTGGGCATGGTGCCCAGGTCATCGTTGAAGGAAGGGAAGAAAAGACAGATGGTGGAGAAAGGAACGAAGACCCCAAAAACCAACCAAAACCAAACACCCAAGCCCGCAGGCCGACTCCACCATCTTGTAGTCTTCCCTATACTCTAGGTGAAACGTGTGAAACTGAGACTAGTGCCAACTAGTGGGCCTGAATTCGCAAAAGAAGAGGACTGCAGCGCAAGCTGTGTGCATGGAAAGCCGCCTAGAAGGCTTCAAACGGGCTTTCCTTACCAAGTGTTGGTGACCAGCGGCCACACCACAGTGTGGCAAAACAAGGTCACTTCGCAGGTCAGATGTCTCGCAATGCTCCAGCAGTGGTTGTAATCAGGCCAACCGAATGTGCGAAGATCAAAGCAGCAATCCATGGAAAAGACCATACTTGTAGCGCAACCCGTTCAACCGGTGGCGCATACAAGGCCAGTCACATGCTGCCATACAGAATTCAATTACAGCGATGATTCCTAGCGAGAGAAGCCTGCAGCTAGGGGTGAATCGGGCACCACCTCCCCGTGGGGAGGCAGACCCAACACCCTTCGGCACTCAACGGTGCCAAAAAGGGGATGTCACTTGAGTCTGTGCGGCGCAGTTTAATGGCAAAAGGTGAGAGGTGCGTGCAAGGCCCGTGTGAAACCTGTGAAACATTGAGCTCTCCTAGCATGATATCTGTACCTCTTTGTACAAAATTGGAAATGTCGGACATCAACAGCGGGAACTAAGGTTCCCCCTGGGCATCCTTCATTGCCACTATCTAC